GCCCTTTGCCCTGTACCCCTGTTCCATGCCCTTTGCCCTGTACCACTGTTCCATGCTCTGTTCCCTGTACCCATGTTCCATGTCCTGTGCCCTGTTCCATGCCCTTTGCCCTGCTCCATGCCCTGTGCCCTGTACCGCTGTTCCATGTCCTGTGCCCTGTATACCCCTATGCCAAGTACTGTCCCCTGTATCCCTTTTATATGTCCTATCCCTTGTACCCCTGTTATATGTCCTGTCCCCTGTATACCCCTATGCCAAGTGCTTTGTCCTAACCCCCTCTTCCTTGTCCTATCCCCTGTACCTATGTTCCATGTCCTGTGCCTATGAATATGGACGTCTTGCACGAGTCAATTTGTCCCGATATCTAAATTTCAGAACATTTTTTCATGCATTGAGCTTCAATAATTTGCGTTTTCTTACATAAAATATGAAACGGTAAGCAAAAGTAATCGTTTTGAACATAATTGCAGGCCCATGTACGTGGACACCTGGTACGAGCCGATTTGTCTCACCGGGTGTACTCAGCTACCAAGGTACAGGCGGTGTGGAGAGGATACCACGCACAGGTCACCTACAGAAGGACCGTCAAGATGATTTTGATACAGACGTACGTGCGTGGATACCTCGCGCGTAAGAGGTGAGGGAGTTGTGTTATTACAGCTTTAGTTGGCGCTCTGTTATGGTACTCTTATAACTAAAATACGATGTTTACTGTGAATTTACATGTATATGATACATATATAAGGCGCAGATCAGCTCTATTAGATGTGAGTTTACAGTTCGTGAATATGATGAAGATGATGATGAAGGTGATGATGATGATGATGATGATGGTGATGATGATGATGGTGACGATGGTGATGATGGTGATGATGATGGTGATGATGATGGTGATGGTGATGATGATGATGATGGTGATGATGGTGATGATGATGATGATGATGATGATGGTGATGATGATGATGATGGTGACGATGATGGTGATGATGATGATGAAGGTGATGGTGATGATGATGGTGATGATGATGGTGAAGATGGTGATGATGGTGATGATGATGATGGTGATGATGGTGACGATGGTGATGATGGTGATGATGATGGTGATGATGAAGATGATGATGAAGGTGATGATGATGATGATGATGAAGGTGATGATGATGATGAAGGTGATGATGATGATGAAGGTGATGATGATGATGAAGGTGATGATGATGATGATGATGAAGGTGATGATGATGATGAAGGTGATGATGATGATGATGATGAAGGTGATGATGATGATGATGGTGATAATGATGTTGGTGGAAGTGGTGGTGATGATGATGATGGCGAAGATGATGGTGTTGACGGTGATGATGATGATGGTAATGGTTATGGTGATGATAATGGCAATGATGATGATATAAGGCACAGATCAGCTCTATTAGA